TTTTTTTTTTTTTTTGCCAATCGATAGGTGGACCCGTTTGGAAAAATGAAAAGTGGGGGCGCTCGATAAGAGTTGCATTGGCTCTCACGGGGTGTACGTAATTGGCGAGTCGTTCGAGCCGCATGCAAATTAGCCAACCAGGTGAGCGTTCTCAGTCGGGCATTTGCTCACGCAGGAAGAGGCAGGACCATTCCTTAAGGAGACGAATGGGCACGAGATCTCCAGAAGGTTTTAAAACAACTGATTTAGTCTGAGTCGAATGAGGAGGAAAGACGAAATTGTTTTTTTAATAGAAATTGTGCACCCAAAATGAGTGTCAAATGAAGAGCATAGTTTCTTATGTGCAATTTTTGTAATTATCTTTTTTTCTAAATTCATAATCTTCGTTGTGATTCACTCGTCTGAAGGGGCTGCTGGCAATTTTTTTTTTTTTGACTTTTTTCCGAGTTTTTTTCTTTCCCCGTGCGCATGAATAGGACCCCGAAACACTCTCAACAAGCGAGTTGCCATGCCAACATTGCAGATGTCACACAACTAGGTGGGAAGAAAAAGAAAAAAAAAGTGTGTCTTGATTTACGCGTCCCCTTTCCATTTGAACAGAACATAATGCTTAAAGTATTCAGTATCGCCTTTTATCTGTTCCTCTTTCTCCTAAACTTATGTAGTGGAACCAAAACAATGGGCATAGAGGCCGAAGGCGATTGGAGTGACGAAATTCCAGAGATATCACATTTAAGGAAAGGTTCCCTAATTGGTCATTTATACGTGGATGGGTGGAGTCCCATTTGGAGCATCTACCTGGAAGGACATACAGACTCACCATCAGACATGGAAACAATTGTAGACGCTGTGATAGGCAATGATACAGGGAGAAGCAACCACGGGGGTGAAATTACCAAATGGGATTGTCTTCAAAGTTTTGGAGACGTAAAAAAGGAGGCACCCTGCCATAGAGCAACCCAACAGAAAAATACCCCCATTCTTGATCAGATCGACCATTCTAATTACGACAAAAAGGAGCTACAAAATTTAAAAAGTCAAAAAGAAAAAGAAAAACAAAGAGAAAAACAAAAAGGAAAAACAAAAAAAGAGAATTCTCTACTTAGGTATGAAATTCATTCAGGCAGTGCATGGCGTGGGAGCCACTTCTGCGGGTGCGTGTATGATAACTATTTGGTTCATTGTGATGGTCCATACGCAAGAAAGAACAATCAGAGGAGGGGAGAAAGTGTATCAACCGTTCGTGCTAGCACTCCTGTACCTGTGTGTCAGCGTAGTGTTCTTCATCCAGGAAGAAATTGTCCCCCAAAAGATGGTCCCAACAAAAGTAAATATCTAGACAGAGCCAATAATTTATTGGCATCCCTAGTCTCAGGAAATTTTGAAAAAAAACAGGAAGCCAATAAGCGTAGCTCCCAATGGAATGAGGAAGAGTCAAATGAAAATTTTTTAAAAAATTTAATAAATGAAAAGGGGAAAAAGGGAAGAAGTGAAAAGCAGATGAAGAAGGAGGAGAGACACGTGTCTTTGCAAAATTACGAGGAATACAATTCAATTGACGACGACAATTATAACGATTATGATGACGATGATAACGATGATAACTATGATAACTATAATAACGATGATGACGATGATGATGACGAGGGACTGATAGACAATGGAAATTTGTACGTGTACGCGATAGAGGACAACGTGGACGAGGAGAGCAACGAAAAGGAAAGAAAGAAAAAGAGGACTACCAATCGAAACGGTAACTCCAATTGGAAAACAGCCGAAAATAAGCATTGCCGGAAAAGGAGTTTACGGAAAAAAAAAAAAAAAAAGGACCGAGCGATAATGCGACATCCAGATTCAATATAAGATACTACAAAAACATCCACAAAATTAGAAAAGGAACAACCAGAAGATTGAAAAATATTATCAATGCATTTATGTACGACCCTGATTGTATGGACATCCTCGTCTACTTCACGACGGACGCGGGGGATCTGATAATGAATCAGTAGGGCGGGTGCGCTAGTTGGCGGCGCGATAGTTAGCGATAGTTAGCGATAGTTAGCGATAGTTAGCGGTGGTCCCTGGTAGTTGGTAACATCCACCATTCCTTTCACGAAGTCCCCTCCTGGCGAGAGATGACGAGTATGGACGAGGACCACTCTTTGAGGGATAAATTATGCTCAACTACCAGAGCATGTTGAAGCTTGAGCAAACTTGGAGGGCGAAGTTTTCTGTGAGACGGGTTCAGCTCGATCGGCCTGAACGGGGAAGCGCATCTTTGTCTCCTTGGGTGATCGTTTGGTTCTGTTTTGGCATATGTTCCTTCCTGGGTGCCTGTTTTTGGAGCCCCATGGCGCAAAAATGCACCTACGTGTGTGTGCATTCATTTTGGCTACGCGCGCTTCCCATTCTTACCTTCACAGATTTGAGAATCTGTCTATCCTCAGTTACACAGAACACTACATCGTAGCACACAGGGCGTAAAAAAGAAAAAAAAAAAAAAAAAAGACGGCCTTTTTATTTTTCGCACATTTTTGTTCTTCCAGGGAAATCCTGATAAAATGGAAAAAGCACGATCGTCTTTTTTATTTTTTTTTCCTGCGATTATGGGCCATTTGGAGCACTTGCGTATTTCCATGTGAAACAATTTTTACAACTATTTTAACTGCTGAGTGGAATTTCTTTTTTTTTTTTTTTTTTTCTTTGTTTTGGTTGCAACCACCAAAACGGTCGCAATAGCGATAGTGTAACATGATTGTTGGATAAGTCCCCCTTTGGTGATGCACACTGTTTTGGCCAGTGTAATCCCAAATGGGAAGTAACAATAGGGAGAAAGGATTATTTCCGGAGATTAAAAAATGGATTTATTCGCATATATATATGCATACGTATGCGTCGCTGTCTCTGATATCCGTTCATGTCGGCACGTATGCCGCATGCATGCGTGCACACATCTCGTCCGTAGTATGCACGCCCAGCTTGAGGTGGAAGCGTTTGTATGCATATACAGGTAGGAATAATTGTAATTTTACGGTGCCTCTTGGGAAAGAAAAATGGCAATCAAATAGCGATAAAAGAAAACACACTGTGATGTAAAAATGAGTAAAACGAATTGCCAATTTGCACAATCTCTTCACAATTGGTTTTTTACTTTTTGCCTTTTCCCTTTTTCCCGTGTTCGCTTGTTTGTATGGCCCCGAACGATTTGCCTCATAATTAACGTTTTTCGCTTTGAAACTTAGACAGGAGATAGAAAATCCATAGCGGTTCACGATTTTGAGAAAAATTAGAAGGATACCTCCCTCCCCTTTCTGTTCGGATGAAAATATGCACAAATAGCATATGCCAGATGAGTTTTTTTTTTTTTTTTTTTTTGGATGCATGCGCAAATCTGGATATGTCAATGCTTTTACAAAGCGGGACCCCTCATGTGTATGAATCATCATTTGAACGAAATTTACGCGCACCTTTTTTTGTGTGCATTACGTAGAGTTTCGAAGGAAGGGAAATGTTTAGTGCAATCGACACGTCGAAAATTTTAGTGCGTCGATATCGGTAGCGGTGGGTAGCAGAGCAGGTAGACGAAGATGTGGTGATTGTCCCCGTTAATTTGCCCCCTTATGTTTGCCCTTGTTTATTTTCCCTCTTCTGTTTTCCCACTTCTGTTTGCATTCCCTTTTTATGTTTTAGTTTTTTGTAAATATTTGTCAAGAATTGGCGCCACTCCAACCTGGACTGACGTCAATTTGTCCGAACCATTTAGTAACAACACCCCTGGGCTTTCCCACAATGTCGTTTAGGATAATCCTGAGAGAAATGATCCACCTGCACCGTCGTCTTTAACATTATTTAAGCAGTCTCCCATTTGGGGACTCTCTTTTTTCCTCCTTTAGAGAACATATGTTTTTTAAGCAACAGCGAGGAGTACAAATTGCTCATGTTGTTATTGGATTTTTTTTGTCTTTCTTTGTGTTTTTTTGCCTTTTTTCGTCTTTTTTTTTCTTTTTCTTTTTTTCTTTGTGAAACCAGCTCGTTAAAGGTTAGCAGACGTTTTAGATTATCTTCCCCGCCTCGTGCTCAAAATTGCTCTGTTGTCCTTTCAAGTTCGTTTTTCGCTTTAAGTTTTTTTTAACCAGCGCAAGACTGCAGGACGACCTAGTAGAAGACCAAAAGGAAAAGCCTCATGAATGTCGCTCTGTATCTGCTCGTGCTTAATTTTTGTATCTGCCTGATAAGCACGAAGGAGGAAAAAAAGAACCCAAGTGCGCCCTTTGATGTGGCAGGGCAAAAGTCAAATCTGAGGTACCCCAATGAGGTAAGCAAAAATGTAGGAAAAAACAAAGAAGCCAAATTGACCACTCAAGACAGTAAATTCAAAAAGGGGCTGGCGGATATTAACAAAACACAGAGTGTTAACAAAGGCGGAAATGGCATCCCCTATTTTAAAGGCAAAGACATGACCACCATTGATAAGGGGCACCTGCGGCCCAATGCTCCTAGTAAGGGTAACTGGAGCCTACCGAACCGAGAAACGAAAGGAAAACCCGAAAAAGTAACAGATAAAAAGGAAATAGGAGAACAAGAAAAGTGGGGAAGAAAAAGCAGTGGTGGTCAAACGAATCCAGAAAGTGGGACACAGGTAAATGATAACAATGTCGGAATGGAGAAGAGGATGAATATTCCCAAAAAAGGAGAATCGGACAAAAATGAAAAGAGTAAACCACAAGCAAGTACAACCCCAGAAAAAAAAGGTGTGACCATGCCGGTAGAGGGAGAGCAGGTACGTAACGAAGGTAAATTGCATGTGCCAAATGCAGAACAAGGGGTAACAAAAGTTAATGTGAAAGGCCCTAATGAAGTAGGGTCTTCGGACAAGTCAATCAAATCCGAAAAAAACAAATCAGGAAATTCAACCCCACAAGTAACCGATCAAGATGCTTTACCAACGGAAATGCCAATCCAAGAGAAGGAAGAAACCACACAGTCGAACACGAAAAGGGTAGATGCACCAGGGTACTCAAATGGTGTAGAACCCCTAAAAGGATCGGAGCCGCCAACCTCGTCGGGTGGTGAACCCAAATCGGAAGCTTCGTACATATCGGAGGGGGATCCGAAACCGGAACAAGTACAAGAAGAAAAGAGTGGAAATGTGAAAAATGAGACATCAAAGGAGGAAGAAGAATTGCCAAGTGGGAAAGAGGAAACAGAAGAATCAAAACAAAATAGAGCTAACCAGGATGGAAATGAAAAGGATGGCTCCTCAAAAAAAGACATAGTAAAACTCTTTCATGAGCATATAGACGTTGCGTCTTTAGTAAGAAACATTAAGAGTAACGAGAAATTACAAAAAATGTCTAACGAGCTGGTAACTTTTGGTGTCAAAGCATATGATGGCTTTCTCGTGTTCGTCGAGCTAGTAAAGTTTTTCGCGAAGGACTTCGTGCAATTCATTCAGAACATGTGAGTGGTGGGCGCAATGACCATTTTGCGTTTCCGAGAGGAGAGCTTTTCACGGTAGGCGCAATTGGCATGACTCGCAAGGTGATTACAGCTTGCATGGTTAGCATGTTGGGACTTCTAACCCTGCTGGTATTACTCTTTTTATTCATTTCTATTAATTTTTTTTTTTTTTTTCTTTTTAATGTGTACCAATAACCACCCCCTGATGAACAAGCATGTATATTCATTTTTTGAAAGGTCTATTACAATGAAAGGAGCGAATTGGTAAGTGGGGGGGAGCCCTATGGCGGGGGCATTTTTTAAAACACTCATATGAGGGCATTCGGGGTGTTAACCCGGGTTGGGTTCGCAAAAGATGTTTACGTAAGGGTAGCGAAGGGAAGAAAGTTAGACAGTGAAGGGGTTAGCAAAGGAAAGAATTAGTATAAATAAAAATTATAAAGGGGAACTGATGGGAAGTTATAGTTTTGGAAGGACTACGAGGTGCCGGTGATGTGTGGGGGGTATTCCACTGTGCTGATTTCTCATCAGTTATGGTGCCCCTATTCATGTTTGTAAGTACTGCGGGGTTTTTTAATTTGGTGAGCTGGCTAGGAGGGTTATTCATGGCAGTAGCCCTAAAAAAGGGGTCCCCCGTCTATTGAGCACACATAACACTGCTTAATTTGCCATGCTCGAAGCTAAGAAAATGAGGACTTGTTTTTTTTTTTTTTTTTTTTTTTTTCGTATTTGTTCGCAAAATTTTGACGAATTAACGTAAAATAAAGGAACTTCTTTCCACGGTTAAACAATTTGCACGGCTTGATGGCGCCTTTTCTATTTTCCCATGTTACAACACAGTGCAGACAAAGCAATTTAAAATTAGTGCGTTCACTTTTCTGTTAATTTAGAAGAAACGGGAAGGTAATTTAGTTATTTCACCTCTTTGCGTAATTTTCTCGATTGCGAATTCATCTATTTTAATGGATCACCCCGCTGTTCTGCAGAGTTTCGAGTGACACAAAAGGGTGCACACGTTAGGGCAACTTTGGAAAAAAACTTCCTCAAATTTGTGTCAATTTGAGGCGAAAACAGCCTCGAAGTTCACGCCGATTTTACCCCGCACAATTTTCGGTGTCTCGGCAAAGGGTTAGTTTGTTATTTCACATTCAAACATGAAGGGCAAGGTGGGTGGTAGTGTTGAGACATCACACTGAGGTGCCACACTAAGCAGCCGTACCGAGCACCGATACCTAGTATCCACGCTCAGAGGCCAACTGGCAATTTCCACGCGAACGTGAGAAGGCTTGTCGTGTGCAAATGCTTCAAGAGCTTCCGCACTTTCTCAGGTATCGAAACGAGTGGCACTAAACGGATGGTAGATGGTTGTGTCGTTTCGCATGTCTTCAGAATGCACGTACAAGTGTACACTCATATGCATATGGAGTGACATATCGTTGTCCGTTCAGACGAGGCGCTTGTTCGTATCATGGTCGTTTACTGTCATTTGTGTGTTCGGCATGGGTTTGACTTAATGGCGGCATTGTTATGTCACATATTCGGTTAGTCTTTTTTTTTTGTTTCTTTATATTATTGTTAAGTTTGATTGCTGCATTTTGTTATTATTTTTATTTTTCTTTATTATTTTTTTCTTATTGTGACATTTTATTGTTATTTTAACTTTCCTGGATTTCCTGCATTTTCTCCTGGTTATTGTTCTTTAAATTTTTTTTTCTTTTGCGAATTTTGAATGCTGACCAGTTAGCACAACAGGACAAACGAAAGAGAATACCAATTTTTTTTTTTTTTTGAACAACCAACAACACCGACGGAAAAAAGGGTCTAGAACAAAAGCCTTTTCAAGTTAGCCACCTGAAACATAAGAAATTCCTTTTTTTAAAAAATATACATCAGGTCAATTTTGTCTTTTCCTTTTTTTTTATAATTCTTTTCAAGGTATGGCCTAAAGAATTTTGTCTTTTGGAACTCACCATTTTGCTATTTTACTGCTACACCATTTTACTACCTCACCGGGTCATTACCTCACCATTTCCCTGTTCGTTTTTTTTTTTTAAGTACCCAGCATGAGAAACCTCCCGTGTGTTACATTCTACTTGGCCGTTTTCTTTTTATCTTCGCGGGGAAGCGGCATCTTATGTAAGGAAACTGGGGTAAAGGGAAGGACCAACCTGAGGAATGGATACACAATTAATAGCATCCTAAAAGAGAAAGAGGAAACACAGCTGAATGATACGAACGATGCTGGTCAAGATATTATAAATCAAGGGGAAGACATACACGAATTGATTGAGGAAGTACAACGTGTCGGTGGAGAAGGAGAAAACATTCACGATCCTACTTCTTCCCTTCCGGAACAAAATGAAGGAAATATGAGAAGAGGTTCTGTACCTCCAGGTGATGGCGTAGAAGAGCACGCAAATGAAGTGGAAGAAAAGGAGCCAAAAGAACAGGAAGAACAAGTGCAAGAGGAGCTAACACAGCAGGAAAATGACGTTAAAGAAGAGAAGCCACAAGAAGAGGAAGAACAATTGCAAGAGAAGGTAGCACACCCGGCAAAGGTAATGCAAGAAGAGGAGCCACACGAACAGGAAGAAGTTCAGGAGCAGGTGGCACAACAGGAAAATGACGTTAAAGAAGAGAA